AAAGCAAAATAAAACCAATACACATAATCGTACGGAATTTTGTTTCTAGAATTTTTGTTTATAATTTGTAATGAATTTTATAACTGTTTTTAATCAGAGGACGTCGTGAAACGTAAAAAACCAGGAGGGTCGAAATTTGACCGATTACAATACTTTCCCTCTATTATTCTATAACAGCTAGAAAAGTAATAAGATTTTTCTAAAACGTGATAAAATTTAGAATAAATTTAATTAAAATTAAATATATTTAAGTTTTATTTATTCGAAATGAAACTCTATGAATTCTTAATAATTAAATATATACAGTACATATAGTTTAATAAATTTATAGGTCTAATATATAATGAATGCTTCTAAGTAACAAGCAGCTAAGCATAGTTCGTTTCATATTAAACAATGTTCTTGGTTTGCTTACTTAGCTGCTTACTACATAGAAGCATACAATTATAAAATTGATTACTTTAGAATATCTGTTGATTCCTTTATTTATAAAATATTTATTACAAAAATATAATAATGGAATAAATATTATAATAATACATTTAAAAATTCTAAAATATAATTGATATTTAAATACGAATTAGAAAATGGACATATATAACAACTTACAAAGAAAAATGTAAAAGATAAAAACTGTTTCTCATTTTAGTGTGCAATCTTGCAATTTATTCTACAGTTCATAATATAAACTAAGCCTGAATTTATAACCAAATGATAACACAGGATTCATCGGACCATAACTTGGTTAATTAAATGCATAAATATTATGTAATTTGGTCTAAAGGTAGGTGATTAAGTTGCCATCTTGTATTAAATTTAATAATTAGAATTGAATTAATTTAATTTAATTTTGATAAACAGAAAAAGTCGATTTTTCTTTTACAATTCTTCTTTAAAATTTAAACTTTACAAAATTGATTGCAGAAAATTAAGTATTAATGATAAAGCATGAAAGTAAAAAATTAAGTCAAAACTCTTTGCTGAAACAATGAAATATTTTTCTGTTATATTGTCCAATAATTGTGTGTTACAAAAAATGGAATATCCAATATATAAGTATAAACAATTCTTTAATATCAATATATAAATATTAAACAAAATATATGTAAAAACTTATATCGTAATAGAACTCTAATAACAGCCATCTCCCAACAACGGTCACTTCTAAACAACGGCTACTTTTTTGAACAAAACTGAATACAAAATAACCTCCAAACAATGGCCAATTTTTATGTTCCCGTCAGTGATTGTCGTTCAGAGGTTTGGCTGTATTAATAAAATCACAAGCATTTTCATGACTATTAGAACTAATCGACTATTTAAATAAAAAATTTAAAAAATATATATGTATATATTTTATCGCTAGTATTTTTATAAGTCGAAAAATATAGTTATATTTTATTTATAATTTAATTAAATATTTATAAGCAAATTGAATGAAACTATTTTTATACAAAAATTAATAAAATAGTATTATATTAAAATTTTATAATTACAGTATATATTTGGTATGAAAACAATCCCAAAAATAAACCACGAAAGACTTAAAAAAAAAATAAAAAATCTGTAGTCGCTATTTGCAGTAAAGGTTTGTTTATAAGTGACTGAACAGAATTTTTAGAAATGTATAACTCATAACACGCTTCATCTTATGCAAATAGCTCATTAAAACAAAGAGCTTCATTAAAAATTCTGATATTTTTCTTTGTTAATTTCATAATATTTAAACCCGAAAAACATTTAATGTATTATTATTTTTTTTAAATCAATAAATCATTTTTTAGTGTAAACCTACGTGTATTTTTTACTAAACGATATACCATGCATTTTGTTTACTTTTAAAATTATACGATATTCTATTAAATTTATCGTGTTTTTTTTATAATTATAACTCTTTATTTTGATACTTAATCAAATCGTCATCTGATTAAAACAAGTCAATAAATAATCGTTACAAAATTAAACAATTAAACTTACGCAAGTGTCACTATTATGAAGTAATTTATCGTTGAGTAAATCATGAAATTCACTTAATATAAAAAAACAATTCGAGTACGCCCTGTAAATTAAAAACAAATCATCAGTTTATGCTTACAAAAATGGAAATATAATAATATTGTTTAAAACATATTTTAAAATTAAATAAGTTTAGTCATTAATCTTTTAACTTAAATGCAATCATTTCTATTAGTGTTATCGGAAAACGAGATAACATAGTACTCAAATGTAATTACACAATAGACGACTACTCTTTGAAAATTAATGGACTCGAGTAGACTATCAAGTAGCTTCTCTGAAACACGTTATAAATATACTTCTAGTTCATAATTAATAGTTTCTTCTAAATGGAAATATCCCCTTTTTTCATTTTTTAAAGAAATAAAGTTGCAACTCAAGTTTCTACAGGGTGAGGCATAAATAACACTTTCCAAATGTATTGCGCATTTAATGTTAATTGGTTTTTAATCTTTTTTATTTTATTTTATTTTATTTTAGGGCTGTNTAAAAAAAACAAAAAAAAAAACAAATGGTAAATGCTAATAATTGCTTTAAGAAGCTCAAACTCGTACGAGTAAAATTTTCATTAAGTCTGATCCCACTCGAGATATGATTCTCTATTCCTCTATCTCCCCTCCCTTTTGACTTATCATTTCCAAAATGTAAACCAATGCGCCATGTATAGACGTATTCCTGTTAAATTTCAAATTTTTTGTCCATGGGGACCTTATACATAAAGCAAAATAAAACCAATACACATAATCGTACGGAATTTTGTTTCTAGAATTTTTGTTTATAATTTGTAATGAATTTTATAACTGTTTTTAATCAGAGGACGTCGTGAAACGTAAAAAACCAGGAGGGTCGAAATTTGACCGATTACAATACTTTCCCTCTATTATTCTATAACAGCTAGAAAAGTAATAAGATTTTTCTAAAACGTGATAAAATTTAGAATAAATTTAATTAAAATTAAATATATTTAAGTTTTATTTATTCGAAATGAAACTCTATGAATTCTTAATAATTAAATATATACAGTACATATAGTTTAATAAATTTATAGGTCTAATATATAATGAATGCTTCTAAGTAACAAGCAGCTAAGCATAGTTCGTTTCATATTAAACAATGTTCTTGGTTTGCTTACTTAGCTGCTTACTACATAGAAGCATACAATTATAAAATTGATTACTTTAGAATATCTGTTGATTCCTTTATTTATAAAATATTTATTACAAAAATATAATAATGGAATAAATATTATAATAATACATTTAAAAATTCTAAAATATAATTGATATTTAAATACGAATTAGAAAATGGACATATATAACAACTTACAAAGAAAAATGTAAAAGATAAAAACTGTTTCTCATTTTAGTGTGCAATCTTGCAATTTATTCTACAGTTCATAATATAAACTAAGCCTGAATTTATAACCAAATGATAACACAGGATTCATCGGACCATAACTTGGTTAATTAAATGCATAAATATTATGTAATTTGGTCTAAAGGTAGGTGATTAAGTTGCCATCTTGTATTAAATTTAATAATTAGAATTGAATTAATTTAATTTAATTTTGATAAACAGAAAAAGTCGATTTTTCTTTTACAATTCTTCTTTAAAATTTAAACTTTACAAAATTGATTGCAGAAAATTAAGTATTAATGATAAAGCATGAAAGTAAAAAATTAAGTCAAAACTCTTTGCTGAAACAATGAAATATTTTTCTGTTATATTGTCCAATAATTGTGTGTTACAAAAAATGGAATATCCAATATATAAGTATAAACAATTCTTTAATATCAATATATAAATATTAAACAAAATATATGTAAAAACTTATATCGTAATAGAACTCTAATAACAGCCATCTCCCAACAACGGTCACTTCTAAACAACGGCTACTTTTTTGAACAAAACTGAATACAAAATAACCTCCAAACAATGGCCAATTTTTATGTTCCCGTCAGTGATTGTCGTTCAGAGGTTTGGCTGTATTAATAAAATCACAAGCATTTTCATGACTATTAGAACTAATCGACTATTTAAATAAAAAATTTAAAAAATATATATGTATATATTTTATCGCTAGTATTTTTATAAGTCGAAAAATATAGTTATATTTTATTTATAATTTAATTAAATATTTATAAGCAAATTGAATGAAACTATTTTTATACAAAAATTAATAAAATAGTATTATATTAAAATTTTATAATTACAGTATATATTTGGTATGAAAACAATCCCAAAAATAAACCACGAAAGACTTAAAAAAAAAATAAAAAATCTGTAGTCGCTATTTGCAGTAAAGGTTTGTTTATAAGTGACTGAACAGAATTTTTAGAAATGTATAACTCATAACACGCTTCATCTTATGCAAATAGCTCATTAAAACAAAGAGCTTCATTAAAAATTCTGATATTTTTCTTTGTTAATTTCATAATATTTAAACCCGAAAAACATTTAATGTATTATTATTATTTTTAAATCAATAAATCATTTTTTAGTGTAAACCTACGTGTATTTTTTACTAAACGATATACCATGCATTTTGTTTACTTTTAAAATTATACGATATTCTATTAAATTTATCGTGTTTTTTTTATAATTATAACTCTTTATTTTGATACTTAATCAAATCGTCATCTGATTAAAACAAGTCAATAAATAATCGTTACAAAATTAAACAATTAAACTTACGCAAGTGTCACTATTATGAAGTAATTTATCGTTGAGTAAATCATGAAATTCACTTAATATAAAAAAACAATTCGAGTACGCCCTGTAAATTAAAAACAAATCATCAGTTTATGCTTACAAAAATGGAAATATAATAATATTGTTTAAAACATATTTTAAAATTAAATAAGTTTAGTCATTAATCTTTTAACTTAAATGCAATCATTTCTATTAGTGTTATCGGAAAACGAGATAACATAGTACTCAAATGTAATTACACAATAGACGACTACTCTTTGAAAATTAATGGACTCGAGTAGACTATCAAGTAGCTTCTCTGAAACACGTTATAAATATACTTCTAGTTCATAATTAATAGTTTCTTCTAAATGGAAATATCCCCTTTTTTCATTTTTTAAAGAAATAAAGTTGCAACTCAAGTTTCTACAGGGTGAGGCATAAATAACACTTTCCAAATGTATTGCGCATTTAATGTTAATTGGTTTTTAATCTTTTTTATTTTATTTTATTTTATTTTAGGGCTGTAAACAGTGAATAAACATGGCTTTTTCTCACCTAACCTGAAAAAAAATGAAAAAGCAATTAACATCGGAAGTACTAGCCCTATACATCTCGAAAAAGTGTGTTACTTATGCCTCACCCTGTATTACATAAATTATGTGTGTCTGAGGATAAGACATATTATATTATTTTACTTTCGTGTAAAAACTAGATTTACCAAATATTCTTTTATTTAATTATTCTTGATATGTTATTATTTTCAATAAATAAATAAAAAGTTTCATCTTTCAGATTAATCTGAGTTAAAATATTTTTTGGGTTATTTGATTTTATCAAAAATGATATAAAGTAGGCTACATCGATTTTAGAGAATCNTATAAAATTAAAATTATAAATATATTAAAATAAAAATATTAACTAATTTTGCATACTTAGGTAGGATCTTTATAAAAATATTTTAAAAATTTTACTTACACTGTACTGGTTATCAATTATTATTATAAATAATTAAGTTGTTAAAGAAGATAAATTATCAATAAATTTTAAACATCTTCCTTATATGAATTTAGAATAATCATTTTAAAAATAGCTTTTATAAACATTAAAAAATGTTATATAATCTTTTATAATATGTGTTAAAATAAATGGTGTTTTTATATTTAAAATGATATAAAATTGAGTTTAACTTTTAAAATTGTTCAATCAAAAAGTTTTAAAAAATTAAAGAAATAATAATAAAATTATAATCAAACTTTGGTATAGCGCTCTCATAAATAGCGCTACCTTTGTAAAACGCCAATACATACTTGAATGAATACGTGTGAATGGGTCTTATAAATATTTAATAGAGAAGCTTTCAGTATTTGTCAACCACTAAATGTACGATTTTGCATTACAAACGATATTGTTATCATCGAAGTCGTCTATAGACCTCATTGCTACGTATAATTCTTATTGCTTAAGCTTTTTCGGTTGAGCACCACACTCGATTTAGTGCCAATCTCAGAAGTAAACAAGTGTTGGCATTGAATCGAAGTTTGACAGTATCGTAAATAAAATAACAATATATTATACAAATGCCGTAAATATATTTTTTCCGAATCGTAAACAATTTTTATAATTAAACCGATAATTTACAAGTTTTCATACAAAGTTTTTGTTTGTAAATTGACTAATTTTAACATCTTTTATATGAAAATAAGCCTTCGATTTTAACGGACTAATTGGCGAGAAGTGGTTCCGTTATTACCGAAAATCCGTTTTAAGAAAACGCATATTAATGACGAACTGCAACGTACAGGATGTATTAAATTTTTTTAATAATGTATAAGTATCAATTATAATGTACCGTAAATTAAGCAATTTATTCTGTACTGATTGATTCGTTTATCTATTTTTTAGCGTGTTCTATCCGCAATAAATTTTTCCTTCGGGGTAGAATTTTTTTCTATTCGTTAAATCGAGATCCGTTAAGTGGCGGGTCTATTATATTTTATTTCGTGAGAATCAAAACGAAATGAGTAATAATTAGTATAATAGGAAGTCAAATAAAGTTTCCAGGTTAATATATTTTATATTATTCTAATGATCAATTTACACTCAATTAAATCTTGATCGAATATAATTTCTTTTTAGTACACATGCAAGTAAATAATGAAGTGAGATGGATATTGTAAATCGATGGGATCGCTTCTCTTTCGCTTAAAAGATGAAAAGGAACGACGAAGTGGTCAGCACAATGCTGGACCGCTTTTATCCCTCACCACAATGAATCAGTGTGTTTATTGAGTTGAATCGGTCTATGGATGACTAAGAATTCGCTGTCCAATGGGGAGAAAAGAAATGGTCAAATGATGTACCGTACTAGCAAGCCAAACAGCAATTCAAAATTTAAAGTATTCTTAGTTTATTTTTATGTTCTGTCGTTTAAATTAAATTTTCTCTCGACGTTAGTTGCTATTTACAGAAGGTATTTCAATTTAAATAGATAACTGTTTACATTATTTCATATCTATGAATATCTAATTTAGCAAACGTTACGCTATTTTATTAATGTTGCTTTTGGTCGCGTTTGATATAAGTCGTATTTAAATGATACTTTAAATNAAACAAGTCAATAAATAATCGTTACAAAATTAAACAATTAAACTTACGCAAGTGTCACTATTATGAAGTAATTTATCGTTGAGTAAATCATGAAATTCACTTAATATAAAAAAACAATTCGAGTACGCCCTGTAAATTAAAAACAAATCATCAGTTTATGCTTACAAAAATGGAAATATAATAATATTGTTTAAAACATATTTTAAAATTAAATAAGTTTAGTCATTAATCTTTTAACTTAAATGCAATCATTTCTATTAGTGTTATCGGAAAACGAGATAACATAGTACTCAAATGTAATTACACAATAGACGACTACTCTTTGAAAATTAATGGACTCGAGTAGACTATCAAGTAGCTTCTCTGAAACACGTTATAAATATACTTCTAGTTCATAATTAATAGTTTCTTCTAAATGGAAATATCCCCTTTTTTCATTTTTTAAAGAAATAAAGTTGCAACTCAAGTTTCTACAGGGTGAGGCATAAATAACACTTTCCAAATGTATTGCGCATTTAATGTTAATTGGTTTTTAATCTTTTTTATTTTATTTTATTTTATTTTAGGGCTGTAAACAGTGAATAAACATGGCTTTTTCTCACCTAACCTGAAAAAAAATGAAAAAGCAATTAACATCGGAAGTACTAGCCCTATACATCTCGAAAAAGTGTGTTACTTATGCCTCACCCTGTATTACATAAATTATGTGTGTCTGAGGGTAAGACATATTATATTATTTTACTTTCGTGTAAAAACTAGATTTACCAAATATTCTTTTATTTAATTATTCTTGATATGTTATTATTTTCAATAAATAAATAAAAAGTTTCATCTTTCAGATTAATCTGAGTTAAAATATTTTTTGGGTTATTTGATTTTATCAAAAATGATATAAAGTAGGCTACATCGATTTTAGAGAATCCATTTTCAACGAGATAAATAAGAATTTATTTTACTTATATTGTAAAACACGTTATAAATAATTAATTAGTTACTACTTGACTGTTTAATTTACAATGCAAATATAATGTTCTTATATTTTTCATAGTATATAAGTAATGTATTTAACTAACTACTAATGAACTAATTTTTTATTTGAATATATAAAATTAATAAAAAAGTAAATAAAATAACAATATATTATACAAATGCCGTAAATATATTTTTTCCGAATCGTAAACAATTTTTATAATTAAACCGATAATTTACAAGTTTTCATACAAAGTTTTTGTTTGTAAATTGACTAATTTTAACATCTTTTATATGAAAATAAGCCTTCGATTTTAACGGACTAATTGGCGAGAAGTGGTTCCGTTATTACCGAAAATCCGTTTTAAGAAAACGCATATTAATGACGAACTGCAACGTACAGGATGTATTAAATTTTTTTAATAATGTATAAGTATCAATTATAATGTACCGTAAATTAAGCAATTTATTCTGTACTGATTGATTCGTTTATCTATTTTTTAGCGTGTTCTATCCGCAATAAATTTTTCCTTCGGGGTAGAATTTTTTTCTATTCGTTAAATCGAGATCCGTTAAGTGGCGGGTCTATTATATTTTATTTCGTGAGAATCAAAACGAAATGAGTAATAATTAGTATAATAGGAAGTCAAATAAAGTTTCCAGGTTAATATATTTTATATTATTCTAATGATCAATTTACACTCAATTAAATCTTGATCGAATATAATTTCTTTTTAGTACACATGCAAGTAAATAATGAAGTGAGATGGATATTGTAAATCGATGGGATCGCTTCTCTTTCGCTTAAAAGATGAAAAGGAACGACGAAGTGGTCAGCACAATGCTGGACCGCTTTTATCCCTCACCACAATGAATCAGTGTGTTTATTGAGTTGAATCGGTCTATGGATGACTAAGAATTCGCTGTCCAATGGGGAGAAAAGAAATGGTCAAATGATGTACCGTACTAGCAAGCCAAACAGCAATTCAAAATTTAAAGTATTCTTAGTTTATTTTTATGTTCTGTCGTTTAAATTAAATTTTCTCTCGACGTTAGTTGCTATTTACAGAAGGTATTTCAATTTAAATAGATAACTGTTTACATTATTTCATATCTATGAATATCTAATTTAGCAAACGTTACGCTATTTTATTAATGTTGCTTTTGGTCGCGTTTGATATAAGTCGTATTTAAATGATACTTTAAATTAAGTAAATAAATATTAACACTTTTTTAACTTTTAATATTATAACTTTTAATACATTCTTTAACAAGTAAATAACTATTTTATTTCTGTATTAAAAATGTATTAAAAATCATGATGTCTGTTGCATTTTTCTATTATTAAATTATTTTACTTCAAATCAGAAAAATATAATAAGATGAGATTAAATATAAATAAATTATTTAATTTACTTGTCAAAAATAAAATTTATTTATTTGTCTTCTTTCCTTCTAATGCACTAAAGTAATCGTAATCAATTATATTTTTAGTGTTTTTTATGTATGGCTTTCATAATAAAATTAATATTCATGTGTTTGTCTATAAATGTATTTTTAAAATATTTTGTGACCATTTAATATTTAATTAAAATTTAAAGCGATGAAGATTTACAGTTCAAAAATTTTTCTATACTTTTTTTTATCATTAATGTGAAATCTTTCCTCATCAAAAAATTCTTCAAGAATTTTCAAATTATATATAAATGATGCAATTAATGCTATTTTAAATAAAATTAATTACGCTTTCTGTAAATATTAACCAAATATATATACATAGGCCTATATTTATGCATTTTTACTTGAGAATTTTTATATCTAAAGCTATTCTTTATTTTTTTTATTTATCGTCATATATTATTATTGACGAAAAACTTTTGTCATTTGGTGCCACATTTATTACATGGATAATATGTAGTGCAGTCGGCAGCAACTGTAATGTGTAGTATCGAGTTTGGTCTCTCTCCGCCAACGATTTTTCTAAGATATTATTTACTAAAGATTGTTTTTCAGCTGAATTTTCACAAACGATACCATTTGAATAATAGTTTATTAATTTACTTTTTATACATTCTTGTTTCAGTTATTAACGAAATATTTAAAACCAATCCCAAGGTTATTATTATTATATATATTTTTCTTTCTTTATATCAAATGATATTTTATTACATAACTTTAAATTAAATTTCAAACTTATTAAACTAAAAACAAGTGCAGATTTGAGATATAATTTATTCACATTTCTTCGGATTTATACCAACAGTTAACACTTTGAAATGTAGAATTCGTGATGCATGAATTTTATTTCCATTTACAAAATGATGTAGGAAAACGAAACTATAATTGTTTAAGCTTTATAATTGCAAAAAAGACTAAAAATTTAAAATTTTAGCCTCAATAAATTCGCATGCAAAAAAATTAACAGACTGTGCAAACAAAATAAAAATTCTCCTCTAAATTGCGCTGAAAAATTTCGTTTCTATTCAAAACTTATGTTTAAAAAAGTTATTAAAACTTAATAATAATTATTAAAATTGTATCAAATACAATATAAAAATTAACAGATATAAAAATATATTTATACAATATTCCTTTTATAGAATACCAATAAATCTAATTTATCATTCGCAAATAAAAATTAAAATCTATGCTTTCTAGAAAAATTAAATTTTTATTTTATTTATAAAAATATATTTTTTACAGTTTTATTGAACGAAAAGCTTGAAGCTTGAGTTTTTATAGTAGACTAACCACTAAACTGTACTAAACCGTGGAAATTATACTGGTTTAATTCTTTCCATTAATCAAGCTATTAAATTAATTGTAAATACGATTTATTTCACAAAATTGTATTAATTACTCTTTCAATTTTAAACATAAATAAACATCCCAGATAATATCCTAAGTTTCTATCTATCACAGTAATTCTAGTACAGTATTGTTGTTCATTTAATTATTCGTATATTAAAATTATAATAATTAATATATATATAGGGGAGACCGGGGCAAGATCGGCATGTTAAGCTTTACTTAAATTTTGTGTAATAAATACTGCTGTAAACTGAAAAAAAAGCTTTGCATATTGTCTATTGGAATGTTACCTTACTATAGAACTGGTTAAAATCAGTTTGGAAATAAAAATAATTAAAATAATTACAACTTTACAAGAAGAGAGAAATTGACGAAGTTGCCCCGGGTATAGGGGCAAGATCGGCAACTTCTCTCTTTTTGTAAAGTTGTAATTATTTTAATTATTTTTATTAAAGTTGCCCCTGGTATAGGGGCAACAGTAATGGGGCAAGATAGGCACGTATATAAAATTATGTTATTAACAATGTATAAGTTGGAATTCACTATTAAAACAAAGAAATACAAATCCAACACCCATTTAATATTATTACAACGAAATGCAAGTTCAAAGACATATATACATGAATAACAAATGCAAACATGTTTTCATTTATCATCTGTTTGATTTTTATCCTTTGCTTCTAATGTGGCTTTATGTTGCCGATCTTGCCCCGCTAGTCATGATTTCGAAACATTAAGTACAACCCTGAGAACAGAATGCCAAGCTACGATCTGGCCACGTGAATAAGTTGAAGTTACATCCTTCTAACAGGAAAAGTAACTTTCGTTATCATGGAATTATAACAAAACCTGCCAATTGAATATAAATGGAAGCAAAATATTATATGGAATTGAACGAAAATGAAAATTTGCTTTATAATTCAACTACGCTTGTTGGAGAACAATAAAAACACTACCCTCAACAAGCCACCAATAAAACTCAACTGCCTAACCTATAACCAAAGTCTCCTTTTAATTTGTTTTTTAAAAAAAGCGCTTGACAAACTTGCCCCGCATGCCGAAGTTGCCCCGGTCTCCCCTATATATAAGGTTAAACGGAATAAAATGTATAAATATCAATTTAAAATATTTAAATAATTCAAAAATCCTCGTAGATAAATTAAACAAAAAAATTATGATTTAAGTTTGTGTACAATTTTTAATAAATCTAAACTGGAGATAAATTGAATAAACAGACTTATGTTTGTCAGTCAATTACATATAAAAAGACAAATATATTGATACAATAATAAGAAAGAAGATAAATGATTTAAGAAAGTCTTAAATAATCCATAAAGATTTTAATTAAAAAATAAATTCGTAAATTTTTTAAAGATAAATAAAACGAAAAAAAAATCACCTAAAAGTCATTTATATAAATTAACAATATTAAAATTTTTAACTTGTAATTTGTAAAGAAATACTTTACAAGTTAAACATTTTAATATTTTTAACTGAGATATATGTGGAGGAGTTTTAAGTGATTTTATCGTTTTATCTGCTTATTTATTATTGTAAATATATAGCATTATAGCTATAATGATAATGCTTAAGAATTTCTAATAGTAATTACTTTTTAATTCATAATATCATACTTAATATTCTCAATGAAATCTTCAAATTGAAGTATATTTGTGATCCATTGGAAAGATCACTTACTCTGCTGGCATTTCTTTACTTATAGATCTTCGACTAATATTCTGTACGTAAAAATTTCTCTTCTTTAAATAATTTCATTTTAAAGAGAAAAAATTACAAAATACATCATGAATATTTGATATATTGATTACATTCTAATCGAAATACGTTTTTTTTCAGAAATGACTACAGATGATGTCAGTCTATTGTAATTTTCTTAAACTGAAATCAAAATAAACATATTATGATACGCAATTTATGCATCACTAATCTCGCTTATTATTATAATTATAGAAAATTATTTGCAAACAGTATACATATATCTTGTAAAACAGAACTATACAAAACAGAAGTTCATATAAAATGAAAATATTTCACTTTAATCAAAATTTTAATATATTTTAATAAATAATGATTAATATTGACATATTATCATAATTGAAAAAAAATATACCGTGTAGTTTTATCATTATATAAGTTTGATTAAAGTAAACCTGTTAATACTATTGATTCTTAATTTTTAAAAAATTATTTAAAATTTAATTTTTGTACGGGGTCATCCATTAATTGCTTGTTTTTGAGCCACTGTTGACCTTTCTCCTTCTCTAAGATGATGTACAGTACAGTACTTTAGCAAATTTTTTACTCTTTAATTACGCAAAAGAGCTTTCATGAACTTCCTTAATATTGACGAAATGACTTTAAAAAGTTTTGCAAATATTTTCTAACATAGTTTATTTACATCACTAGCAAGTACTGGTACATATATAAAAAAATTCGTATACACTAATACCTCTAAAACAAGTCCGCGTAGACAATGCCTCGATCCCCTTCCTCTCCATCTTGTACAGTGCAATGATGTACAGTGCTTTTGCGACTATTAAACTGTACACGTAATTAATGAACGGCCCCTACTTTATAAATTCTGTGAATTATGGAATAGTCTATAATGATAATATTGTTATTCAATAAACAGATTTTTTTAACAGTGTAAATGTTTATTTTATTGTCATAGTATAGAATAGGATAGTAATAGTGCTCAGTTTTGCGGAAAATAACACGACATATTTATTTATATTCAACGAATCGGAGTGATTATGATAATGACCATTGTGCTATAGTAGTTGAAGAGTTATTTATTTATTGGATTAAGATATAGACTATAATTTATTTTGTGTAACTTATCTAATATCATGTAAGATAGATTCAAAACTCATAAATTTTAACCGCAGTTTAAATAGTATTTAAACAATGTAAACAAGAGTTTAAATTTCAAAAATCAAGTTATAATTTATGAAATCAATATTCTAATTATATAAACTCACGTTTTCTTCAATTATTTCTAAACTAATAAGGTCAAATATAGTAAAATATTTAACCGTACTTAAATTAAGTGCTAAAAATTATAGATTCGACTTATAGTATTTTTGAAAAGTAGATTCAAAAAGTATCTACAAAAAGCCCTTATTATTTTCTTAGACTATTTGTAAAATAATAATAATAAAAGATT